GAGGGCGGGCTACCTATCCGTCCCTTTTCCATTACACCACTCCACAGTGTAGTCGTCAGACTGTAACTCGTCTTGTTTTCTAAATTGAGATGATGTCTTTATTGTGAAATGATCAGATGAGCTTCGGTTGGTCGGCGGATCTCGCACCAGCGGCCGAGTGGAGATATACCGTGGCGGCAGCTGGGGGACCATCTGTGATTCCAATTGGAACCAGACTGATGCGGGGATTGTCTGCCGACAGCTCGGTTTCTCAGACGCACTGGAGGCCAAGTCCGCTGCCCACTTCGGGCAGGGTAGCGGACCCGTCCATATGGACGGCGTAGCGTGCGAAGGATCCGAAGAGAAAATTACCGACTGCCCTTCCTACTGCTGGGAGGAAACAAGTTGTAGCCACTCACACGATGCTGGAGTGATCTGTAGTGATGGTAAGCATATAATGAGGGCAGTGCAACGAATCCTATACCACATCGTCAATGATTCAAATCATCATAGAAAATACTCCGCGTATTCCTATCATTAGAAAGATGGATTTGTTCTAGCGTCATGCAAGAACGAGTGCTCCATTCAATTTGATAGTAACGATTTTTATTGTGCAATCGTATACCTTGATTTAAATGATAAAAAGCTGAAATAGTACAATGTGTTGAAACTATTAGTTGCCTAGCAATAATCGGTTGATACCTTAATCTATATTTGCAAGGGTTTCTCGCATGAAAGTATGTCCCGATTCTTGATTTCGCATATGTCTGCGAATCTGATAATCGTTCGGAGAGAATATTTTATTGACTTCGGTGTAAAGACGGTATTATGATTGTATACAGCCAGTTTTCTGTTTAGATTTTATCTAAAACCCCCTTTTTTTTAAAGCGAAAACTGTTTTGTTTTCAGTTTTCTTCAACAACCTAAGATGCAAATTTTTTGTTTCTTGATTTTGTATTACTGCAGGAAACACCGTAACAACCAACAAGTGACGAAAGCTAAGCAACTAGGAAGGATTGGACACCACACATCATCATACACACTCATCTCCTTGCAAAGGGACACTATTTGTTTCTTGGTATTTTGGACCATCAAAGCGCCCCTCGTGAACTGCTGGTCGACTTCTTCTATAGTCACGTGACTGGCCTCGGCCTATAACCCGTGCATGCTGTACAAAAAATTATATGGAGAGTGGTACCTCGCTTCTCTTGGCATTGTACAGTATATTAATGACTGTGCAATCTATGACACCAGTCTTTGTTAACAGTGCATACTGGCTAGATGTCAATGTATGTTTGTGTGCAGCTTATACAATACGCATAATAAACATGCAACAATCATATATTGGCTTTGTTTGTTTTAAATATATATATATATATACAAAATGATAATAAGAAAACACCAAAAGACTACACAAAAGACCACCCCAAAAACGGAACAGGAGTGGAATCGATAATCAATTATATTATTGAACTTGCATCCATTTTGGATATTTTCAAAGTCAGCTACTCATAGTAGAATGAGTCCATTGATATAAATACGTTCAAATGAAATTGGGGAACGAAAAGTTAAAGCACAGTGGATAAGCAGTGAGGGTGAAAATTGTGGACTCTCTTATACTCTGATACACCGATCAACTTTAAGTGTTATTTCAGGAAAAGCTACGATGTTGCGTACGAGGTAGAATACGTGACGGTGAAGAAACTTTGACAAATACTATGGTTGATAAACTTAATAATTGTTGTGTTATTTGTGCCATGTATAATATTTGCCGTAATCGTATGTTAGAATAAACCTGACTTTTTATCTAGAAGTAATATTTATTAGATTTCATTTACTTTATAACTGCACTTGTTATAGACCTAGTACTTGATTATCATATTACCAAAAATAACAAGAAAAATAATTAACTGGACACACTTAAGAGGCCTCCTTGCCTTGCCATAGTCGGACCCCCAGGTGGATTCTTATAATTGTTGGTTTTTTTTACGATTCATTACGTTGAAATGTTTGTCTTGTTTTATAATATTGATTATTTACTTCCTTTTAATGCAATAAACGTACGTGAATACAGCATAAAAATTGTGACTTTGGGGTCTATGAACTATTGAACTATTTTGGTCAGTCAGTGGGTCAGTCAGTGTGTTAGGTACAAAGAAGACCGTAGTCTGGCCCTCTGGGACCAGCAGAGTAATTTTTGGGACCAAGGTGAGGCTCATGCAAGTCTATTTCCCAAGTGAGAGACAGTGAGTCAAGCACAAAGAAGATAGTAGGTTGGCCCCTCGGGGACTACAAAACGGACCAAAATTAATTGATTACCAATTCTTTTTTTTTAAATCGGTTGCCATCCCAACTATGACCATCCCACAGAATTGCTTTTAATACCATATTCATTGACCCCTGATAAACGTTACATGAAAAGTCACCTAATTTCATGCCGATGTGTGGGGGGGGGGGGGGGCAAACCCCCAGCTCTGACTCGAATTTTATGTTTTGCATAGAAATATATTATAAATAATGTAATCCCCCTACTCTGTGACTATATACCGGTAATAATATCCGCTTGTGCACAATATTCGGACTGAGCCAGCTGGGATACGGGGGTATCATCGGATTTAAACAGCGCCTCCATTGAAAGTTTACGGAGGCCAATAATGTGTCCGGAGGGAAAAACCTGTCTACATTTTAGCATTGATTTGCTGATGACCCCCCCCCCCCCCCCATAGGCAGTATATAACAAATCGTGATGTGTAATGGCGTGCCTGATACAAGCTATGCTTTCAAGGTTTTACCTCCTCTAGCCGCCTTTATATCCTGTTCAATACTTATATTATTTTCCATTTCTGTCATGAACAGACATAAATGTGTTTATTGAATTGAATAAAGGGGGCAACTGATCTGGGGCCTACTTACTGCTCTGCAACCACATGTTGCTGCATTGTCACTGCCAGATATTTTTGATATATTGCCCAGAACATTTGAAGGTTAAGTCTGTTTTGGATGAACGTCTTGAGCATGCATGTTAGTTACAGGCTCGTCATACATGAGGGTAACTATGAACCTGAAAGCCAGTGTCAAAACATATCCGTCACAAGGAAATGAATGTTGGGACTTGTTTTTGCCCTAGCTCCCTACGTGAGCAATTTGGTTCATTGGTACTCTACACAGCAATGTCACTACCAGATGTTTGATATATTGCCCAGACAATGTCAGAGGTTAAGTCTATTTTGGATGAACGTCGATCTTGAACATGCATGTTCGTTACAGGATCGTCATACATAGGGTAACTGTGAGCCAGTGTCAAAACACATGCGTCACTAGGAAATGAATGTTAACCTTTTGCGAAAGATCCTTGAACTTTTTAGTTGCTGGCTCGTCTTAATGTGCGTGTTTGATCTAGTGCCAGAACACGTGCGTCACAAGAAAATGAAGAAATGACTTCCAATGTTCACCCATTTGACCTTGCCATATTGCCCAGTGGGCAAAATACGTTGAAATAACGTTGAAACAACGTCAGATTCCGACGTTGAACTAACGTTGAATAATGATTGAATTTGAAAGTTGATCTGACGTTGAAATGCTGACGTTGAATCAACGTCAACAGTTCAACGTTGATTTAATGTTGAAAATTTTACGTTGATTCAACGTTGATTAATGATTGAATTTGCAAGGTGATCTGACGTTGTTTTGCTGACGTTTAACCAACGTGGAAAGCACAACGTTGAATCAACGTAGATATTAAAACGTTGATTTAATGTCGGACATTCTACGTTGATTCAACGTTGATTAATGATTGAATTTGCAAGTTGATCTGACGTCATTATGCTGACGTTAAACCAACGTGGAGAGCACGACGTTGAATCAACGTAGATATGTGGAGGGAGGGGTATTGCAAGCCCCAACCCCCTCTAGATCCGCTACTGGATTACGAATCCAAATGTTTCATCAATTATCACTCAGTTGCACAAAATCGCCATGACAAGTCAGTCATATAGAAACCTGACTATAGGGACGATTTAACTTTTAAAAAAATCTGGTCACACAGTGAAATTTATTCGTGTTGTTATAATCATAATGGTTTTTCAAAGTTGGACACAGAAACTGACTTGAGTTTGGTTGAACCTGCGACCTAATTTCATGAAAACTGAATAAATATACTACAGAAAAACCTAATAAGGAAAGTTATCAATGTGTTATACAACATTATAATCCATTGATGTGCGGCAGAACTGGGCGGGACCATCCCGCCCAGTTCTGCCGCACATCAATGGATTATAATGTTGTATAACACATTGATAACTTTCCTTATTAGGTTTTTCTGTAGTATATTTATTCAGTTTTCATGAAATTAGGTCGCAGGTTCAACCAAACTCAAGTCAGTTTCTGTGTCCAACTTTGAAAAACCATTATGATTATAACAACACGAATAAATTTCACTGTGTGACCAGATTTTTTTAAAAGTTAAATCGTCCCTATAGTCAGGTTTCTATATGACTGACTTGTCATGGCGATTTTGTGCAACTGAGTGATAATTGATGAAACATTTGGATTCGTAATCCAGTAGCGGATCTAGAGGGGGTTGGGGCTTGCAATACCCCTCCCTCCACCCAACCGCAACCGCTAGCCGCTGACTAATGTTGATACTAGTAAAATGGGGTCCAAAATAATGAATGGAATGCTAAAGTAACTGAACTGCCTTAGAATGCAGGATCGTAGATTTCAATATTGAAAAATCGTTCGACGTTTGCAGAATGTTAAAAAAGGGCACTCGTTGCGAAATGTTGGGAAAGAGAGATGTAAATGCTACCCTTAACCCCCCTTCGGATGCTATGCCCTCGTTTAACCCAAGTCGGAAGTCCCCGATATAGCTTCTCAGCAACACAAATAGACACACGTACACAACGTCTCGGGGGATTCGTTCCATGGAAGCCAGACGGATTATATATCTGCTCAGCTAACGGCACCTTTTAACCCCGACACATCATGCCCAGCACCATGATATATAAACAGATCAACCAACCTCCGTCGGTTCATACTCGGCTCCAGCTGATCTCTCTTGAAGACGTTTGTATTACTTTCTCTCATCGTATTCCTAAACAATGTCTTACTCTGCATCAAATCTGCTGGTGTTGGCTGCCACGCTGATCACCATCACTGCGCCCTCACGTAAGTGTGAAACTGAATTGAATTTGTCGTTGTCAACTGTAATTTTACAGATTATTTTCTGTTGCAAACAAAACAAAAACCAACACATGGAAACCTGTAAGCAGGCAACTGATTTCTATAGCTGAAACTGTGTAGGCTATGTCTGCGGTTTACAGTTACAAGCATCACGATCCCAGCACAAAACGTGTGCACACGTAACAATACATCTATTATGGGCTGAAAATTGAAAATAACTGGGACGGTACATTTTGAAAACATTTTCGTCATGTTAGTTTTCATTTCATAGTTTATTTGTATTGAACATAGTTTCGCTAGTTGATGCCTCATCACTTTTACTACTGTATCCGTATAGTTTTCGTACAATATAAGTGAATCCATTGGATTCGGCGCTGTAAGAATGCCCAAACCGTTGCCTGAAAACAAGAGACGCATTTTGCGCCTACCTTTTTGTCTGTCAATGTTTATTCCAGTTAAAAAGAATGAAAATTAAAGTATCCCAATTTCGACTTTGTATTTTAGAATTATGCTCGGCCCATCCTGTAGTGCAAGATGTGACGTCACAAGACCAGGCAAGCAGCTCAAGCATATCAGGTAAGCACATGAAACTGCTGATATTTAATTGTAACATTAATATTTTGTTTGTACCCCTATGTGTTTGCTGTGTGGCGTTCCGATGATGGTGGTGGGGGGGGGGGGGGGTTTCAACTCCTCGTATTCCTTTGAGTGAGGGGACACATGCTGTAATAGTTATTATCTGTGCAAGAACAAATATAATGACCCATTTTATCACCCACCCCTGTAATGTAAACCATATCTACAAATATGAAGCTATACCGTGGCTTTATGCAGTCCCAATTCTCTGAATTTGATCGGAATAGAAAACAAGAAAGGGAATGGAGCGGGCATATAGGCCCTATCACATTCAAGAAATACCGATACAATCAATCTGAAGCAGGTTATTAAAAACTAAGTAAAGTAGATATACTTGAAAATGTAACTTCATTTTTCTCGACGCAAAGTATATGGGTTCCCGGTAAAAGTGCAATGGTTTTGTCCTAACCATTCCGATTAAATGATGATAATGACTCTTTTTTTCGAAAAAGATAGCATACTAGGCGCACTGATTTCACTCATTGCATGATCCTATTATTTACTTACAATCAAGTATGATATTGATTTCTTTTATTTTTCTCCTGGAATTTTGCAAAAATGAATGGTGTCCATGAAGCTGCTTCAGCACGAAAAGATGTCTGCATTTTCGACTTTTTGCAGAAGTAAATTTCTGTTTTTTTGGTGCGATTCGTGATTATTTCAGTAAATAACAGTAGTTCAATGAGCAAACGTTCTGCATTCATCATTCAATGAGCAAATTCGTTGGTTTCTATCTAAATTTGGACAGAAATTCCCTAAACTCAGGCTGAAGCGGTTTGCAACATCGCAATCAGTTGTCAGGAAAAACATTGAATACTTGAACGTTTCATGCAAAAACTGTTTAACTAGAAATGATGTTTTATGGTTTTCTTGATTTTTAGAGAAACGGAACGTTGCGAAAAAAATATGTTCCAGTGTAAAATTCATGCTGTGGTCCCCTAAACAAATTTATTTGGCAGGCAAAATGGGAATACCTTGTATCCGATATATTTTGTGTTATTTCAGGTCTTTCGTGTACGAGTTCTCCACTGGGGATGGCCAGTGGGGCCATCCCTGATTCCAGCCTGACGGCGTCAGACTCATACGACTGGCGTTATCTCCCAAGCAAGGCCCGACTGAATGGTAAGTCTCATTGATTGCTACACTATGAAGCCCGGGAAGGGACAGGGTGGAAATTTTTTTTGGCGTTTGCTAATTCGTTCGCACGAATTACTAATTCGTTCGCACGAATTACTAATTCGTTCGCACGAAATCCTAATTCGTTCGCACGAATTACTAATTCGTTCGCACGAATTACTAATTCGTTCCCACGAAATCCTAATTCGTTCGCACGAATTACTAATTCGTTCGCACGAATTATTATTTCGTTCCCACGAATTGCTAATTCTTTCCCACGAATTGCTAATTCGTTCCCACGAATTACCAACTCGTTCCCACGAATTACTAACGCATTCCCGGATCCACGAGTTTGATGTCTGGCGGACCCCGTGCACCCCCCCCCCGAACTAATTTTCACCAACTTTTTGGGGTGCTTCAAGGGTCTTGATTTTGTGGGGGTGCCTTTTAGACCAAATTTGCGCCCATCCTGGCCGCCATCTTGAATTCGAAGCATGAAAGCAAAAAAAAAAAACCAGGATACCCGAAATAAAATCTGTGAGAGTCAAAAACATAATAAATTAACAATTTTATTGATGCTTTTATCACACTATTTGGCTTATGTAGATTTTCCCGGCCAACTTCACCAATTTTTCATTCAATTTAACGCCTGGCTCGTTCAGTTTGATTTGAAATTGAAAAATCACGCAGATCGTCATTCGACAATCAAAAAGAATCATTCGATTTCACTATCCAAGCAATCTATCGCCTTTTAGCCTCACTCATCCCTGTAAAAGGTGCATTAAAAGTATTGCGTTGTTCAATCAGTTTGGTCTGAACCAGTAGTAAGTGGTTGACCGGGCATTCCTTTTCATTAATGGGCAAACTTATTTCACTTTTTGTCAAAATGTTTTAAGACTTCCTGCATGTAAAATTCTGAATTATCTCGGCGTAAATCATATCTGATGTCTTCAATCCGTAAATGGACACCTCTCTTTCTTAATTAAAGGGTCCGTGAATGATTTTTTTCTCATGAATACATTTTATGCAACTTACTACTACTCTAAAATGTATGAAAGATATTTTGACATCCCTTTTTTGGTTAGTCATATTGCAAGTGCACGTCTTTAACATTTAAAAGTTCCATGCTTTTCTGTTGCTGTGATGTGATTTCAGGAAGACACTGTTCAGTTTAGGGGGTTTCTTTCAAATTATTCACCCAAAATTTGCTAAGAAAATACTTTTGAGAAAGGATTGCTCATTGGCTTACTGCCAAGTACTGACACAACAAAGGATCACCAAAGAAAAGAAATCGTAGCAACTTTTTTTGTGCTGAAATAGCCCAGTAACATTCATCTGCACAGAATGACATCAAAATCTTGTTGATGCGTGAATATGGAACTTTGCATCATCATAAAAACGGAGAAAGCACCACAAACACCCTTCAAAATGGAAAAAACATTGATGATAAGGTTAAAATGTGACACAAAGATGTGTTTTCCAGGTTTGCATTGAACAATTACTTTGCATGGGCCCTTTAATTAAGTGTTCGGTCAGACATACGCAAGAAAACATTTAAGAAATTACCCAAGAAAAGGGTTCCCCATCGTACAACCATTGCCATATTGTAAATTTTACAGTCGCTAAGATGTTTTGGGGAAACTCAACCTCGGAGGAAAATGGGAAAATATATCACTTAAAAAAATCTTATTAATTTGAATGACCTCAAAATGAAAGTGATTGCCCATAAACGAATAAGAAACGAAAAACATGGTAATAAGTTATAAGCGCACCGACGTTTGCTAATTTGAATGCGTCAACCGTCAAAAGGTTGACATTCAGTCAAAAATCCTGGCTGCTTATGCCCCCCAAATCAAAAAGAAATTTGATCATAATGTGCAAAACTCACGCGAAATTGAATGGCTGATAATGAAACAAGGGGAAACCTATATATGATTTTTTTTTCAATTTTTTTTCAATTTTGGCGGCCATATTGGCCGCTTTCATGCAATTGAAGCATGATATCAAAAACACGATACCAGAAATGAATTTGGGAGGGTACAAAACATATAACTAACAATTTCACTTGTGATTTTATCATGTTTTTAGGCTGACTTTTTTTTTCATTTTTACCAATATGGCGGCCTTATTAGCTACCAAATTGGCCGCCATCTTTAATTTGAAGCATTATAGGAAAAAAAATACCAGAAATGAGTTTTTGAGAGTCTAAAACATATAACTAACCATTTTATTTATGCTTTTATCACATTATTTGGCTGATTATGTCTTTTTCCCCCAAGTTTTTACCAACTTTGGGGGCCATATTGGCCGCCATCTTGGATATCTCCTTCTCATCGGATTTGTTTTACTGTTAACATCCAAAATGTGTTTCAGGACGCTAAAAGGCACCCCAAAAATTGGTGAAAATTAGTTCTGGGGGTGCACGGGGGTCCCCCATACATCTATATCTCATGGATCCGGGAACGTGCCGTGCCAGTTATTCGTAGGAACAAGTTGGTAATTCGTGGGAACGAATTAGTAATTCGTGGGAACGAATTAGTAATTCCTGCGAACGAATTAGGATTTCGTGGGAACGAATTAGTAATTCGTGCGAACGAATTAGGATTTCGTGGGAACGAATTAGTAATTCGTGCGAACGAATTAGGATTTCGTGGGAACGAATTAGTAATTCGTTCGAACGAATTAGTAATTCGTGCGAACGAATTAGTAATTCGTGCGAATGAATTAGGATTTCGTGGGAACGAATTAGTAATTCGTGCGAACGAATTAGTAATTCGTGCGAACGAATTAGTAATTCGTGCGAACGAATTAGGATTTCGTGGGAACGAATTAGTAATTCGTGCGAACGAATTAGTAATTCGTGCGAACGAATTAGTAATTCGTGCGAACGAATTAGTAATTCGTGGGAACGAAATAGTAATTCGTGCGAACGAATTAGCAATTCGTGGGAACGAATTAGTAATGCGTGCGAACGAATTAGCAAATGCCAAAAAACATTTCCACCCTGTCCCTTCCCGGGCTTCATACTACTCTAATTGCAATAGTCTGCAACTGTTGCTTACTTTGTGTTTGTTGCCTTCTTGTGAGTTTAGACATAGGAATTGTATAAGCCCGACACTAAAAACAACTGGAAACTTGAAAAAAAAAACTTATTAACGATGCATTTTGATTGTATTAATTATGGATTCCATTCTTGGTCAATATGACCAGCCCCTTTCTTTCTCAAGGCTTTAGGCTCATTTGCTTTTCATGCGTTGTTCGTTTCCAATAATGACACCTCTCAAATTTTAAAGATAAATGTGTAAACGTTAAACCTAACCAGTTGAAATTTCAGCTATTTTTTTCGCGAAAACATTGAAAAACCATGCACTATCTTTTGATAAAGAAACACGATTTCGCCCATGGTACTCTGTATTTAAAAAAAAAAAAGGCAATTGACTGATCGTTGGGAAATCACCACCATTTCTTGATTTCTTCGCAATGGCAGCAAGCCAGACGAAATAACATCACGGGGTGGTTAGTACCCTACGATCTTTAATACCCTCCAAAATAATAATAATTCGGTTGGTTACTTCTGAGATACATGCAAATGATCCTACATGTCTTTAACCCAAAAAGGTCGTTTTGTCTAAGTTTCTAAATATAAAAAGAGGTCAACCAACAACAACAAAAAAGACTCCGTGGATTCCGGATAATCTCCGCAAGTCAGCTTACTTTTTTTCAATATTTTATTTGAACTATTGCTTGCACCCTGTACTCCTGAAAAGATTGAATAATCTGAAACTGTTCCTGAAATTGAGAAGATGAATGGAAGTGATTCTGTGTGAGCACACCACGCCGCATGTATATGACAATTTCCCGTTACATCAATATTTATGCAATACTCATGCAACAGTCAGACCGCGTATAACCTGTATTCAAGTGCTTATGTAAATCCCAGCGATTTATCGCACAATTTTTTTGGCCAGGGATGGGCGAGAAGGCTATCCCCAGAATAGTCCATGCATTCACCATAAACTTGACCAAAATGAAAACCGATTCTATGCATCACTCTGTCCGTGTTACGATTTATTTGTCATTGCATTAACTTGTTTTGTAACATTAGTGTTCTCATGTCCTAGCTGGGTACAAAACAAAAAATCGTCACTAGTTTACTGTCATTACAACAAAATCAACATCACTAACTCAAGTCTGTAGCGCGAATTCCTGTCACTGATCCTTTAGGCTCCGCAACAACGAAAAAGGTACGAAAAAGTAAACAAAGTGTTACTCAGTTATTCAGAACAGGAATGACATCAAATCCAAGCCTGTGTATTTTTCAACTTCCAATACAAAATATGTATTCTTGTCATGATCACAGCTTTTGTAACTGTTGTATTTTTCTTATGGAAACCTTGTAGGATTTAGTTCTATATATTTGACTGTCATAGTCTGTTTGTTACGGAAGACGGAGAGTGCCATTCAATAAGTCTGAATATATTTTTTGTACGTGTAAAAATATTTTTTTTGTTCAGCGGCCGCCACTTATTATCTTGCGGCCGCCAGACAATAAGTGGTGGCCGCTGTACATACAAATGATTTACCTCTCACGTGACTTCTCGCGCTTTTTCGAGCCTGGCCCAAGTGACCGACTCGCCGAGCCGGTTACTTTAAGTATCCCATAAGGCCATGCAACGTCCGGCGGGCGCCTCAGGCCGTGTCCGAAATGGGCTTCCACAGAGCATAGAGCTACAAACCCTATGTAGCTCTATGGGTGCAGACCAGTAAATCGGTCCGAAATTGCCTGCGCCGGCCAAATCACGATTTGCATGCCCTCAAAATCTTCGGTATTTGAGCATGCTGTGGGCCATGAACTTGAGGGATTGTAAAAAATATAGGTGGAAGCCGTGCACAGGACTGGGAGCTTGCAGTTCTGTGTAATTTTGATGTAATTTGGACCCTAAAAGCGCTCTATTTTGCAATGGAGTGTAGGCATCGTTTTTCAAAATGGCGATGGGCTTCAGGACTATTTTCAGGGGTGATCATCTTCAGATGGAAATTTCTCCTAAAAGTCATCAGTTGACCCCCCAAAAAGTGAAAAGAAAATGAAAGATGATGAAATAAGCTTTAATTTGATGTGTGTCTCGAACACCTTGGAGAGTTGTGAGTATTTTTCCCGAATTTTTGAAGTGGGAGCATTTAGCATTGGGGTCTATGGAAGTTTATTTACTGGTCTGCTACCTATTATAGTTTCAAAATGGCGCCTTCCACCGTTTGTTGTCAAATGTTTGCGGAGTGTTTTTTTTCAGGGGGGCGGAACCTGGGGGGGGGGGGGGCAGCGTTTCAAAAGGGGTCACCAATGGCGGTTCCGCAACAAATGCGCCCAAAATCTGAATAGGGCCGATGGACCGTCCTCCGATCACAGCAATTTCGAGCGAACAAGGGGGGGGGGGGGGTAATTTGGGGTCGGAAGGAGCCAAAACTCAATTAACGCCCGTTGGGGGCGCCCTACAGTAAGGTAGCCGCAAACAGAGGGCTTGTTTTCAGGCCAGAAATCGCAGTCGGAGATTTTTTTCTCGCAATTTTTTGATGAAATATGAGTCATCCATCCTTCCTCGTGCCGTACAAGTGGTTTGTGGAAAATTTTCAAAACCTCGCTTCTCTATAGTTTCAAAATGGCGCCTTCCACCGTTTGTTGTCAAATGTTTGCGGAGGTTTTTTTTCAGGGGGGCGGAACCTGGGGGGGGGGGGGGGCAGCGTTTCAAAAGGGGTCACCAATGGCGGTTCCGCAACAAATGCGCCCAAAATCTGAATAGGGCCGATGGACCGTCCTCCGATCACAGCAATTTCGAGCGAACAAGGGGGGGGGGGGGTAATTTGGGGTCGGAAGGAGCCAAAACTCAATTAACGCCCGTTGGGGGCGCCCTACAGTAAGGTAGCCGCAAACAGAGGGCTTGTTTTCAGGCCAGAAATCGCAGTCGGAGATTTTTTTCTCGCAATTTTTTGATGAAATATGAGTCATCCATCCTTCCTCGTGCCGTACAAGTGGTTTGGGGAAAATTGTCAAAACTTCGCTTCTCTATAGGGTGCATACCAGTAAATCGGTCCGAAATTGCCTGCGCCGGCCAAATCACGATTTGCATGCCCTCAAAATCTTCGGTATTTGAGCATGCTGTGGGCCATGAACTTGAGGGATTGTAAAAAATATGGGTGGAAGCCGTGCACAGGACTGGGAGCTTGCAGTTCTGTGTAATTTTGATGTAATTTGGACCCTAAAAGCGCTCTATTTTGCAATGGAGTGTAGGCATCGTTTTTCAAAATGGCGATGGGCTTCAGGACTATTTTCAGGGGTGATCATCTTCAGATGGAAATTTCTCCTAAAAGTCATCAGTTGACCCCCCAAAAATTGAAAAGAAAATGAAAGATGATGAAATAAGCTTTAATTTGATGTGTGTCTCGAACACCTTGGAGAGTTGTGAGTATTTTTCCCGAATTTTTGAAGTGGGAGCATTTAGCATTGGGGTCTATGGAAGTTTATTTACTGGTCTGCTACCCTATGCACGGAGCTACGAAGTAGCCTGTCCCCGCGTAGTTTCACCGGGCGTGGACGTGCTCTATAGACGTAATTGATTCGGATGCAGCCTGGGCCGAGAATTCCGAAAAATGTTGCATTCTGACGCCACTCCACGATTGTGTACAAATTCTAAGGAAATGGAAATGTTTCTCACTTCCAGATTCATGTCTTATCGTCATTTTGCCATGAATGACTTTCATTGAGATGATATATGAAGAAAAATGGCTTCAGGTTGCAACATCCCCCCGTGGAAAAGCAAAAAAAAAAAAAAAAAAAAGAGAGAGAAAAAAAAGAGGCGAGAAGTCATATTGGTGTAAATTCAATGGGTTGGGGGGGGGGCAAAATGTACCTACCACCCCCCCCCCCTTAAAACTGGTAAATCGAGAATATGTTGAGAAAAACAGGATTTTTGTTGCAAATATGTTTTGCCCCCCATAGCCAAAAAAATCCTGGCGACGCCCATGTTTGTTCTCACATATAGGCTATAGGCGCGGGTAAGCTGGGGGAAGTAATCGAACGCACTCAAGGTGTATTATTGTCATAATCACAGTTTTCGTAACTGTTGTAGTTTCCTTACAGAAACCCTGCAGGATTTGGTTCTGTATTATTTTTGAATGTCAACATTTTGTTTTATTCCCCACAGGTACTGGTTGGTGGGCATGCCCGAATGGAAAGCCCGAGGGTCAATGGATCCAGGTAGACCTTGGTCAGTACACGGCCATCACGGGGGTCATCGTACAGGGACACAGAAGTTATTATATCCGAACCTTCGCTGTAAACTACAGTAATACGGGCGAGTCCAATGATTGGCAGAAACTAACTGACAGAGGACAGACCGTACAGGTGAGCCTAGGATCCCGTCAGGATCGATTCTCTAGTTTCACATTCCATACGGACAGTAATAGTAATCGCACGGAATACTATGCGTTTGTAACTAGCGCAATGTTTTGCGAGTGAAAAACAATAATATTGAGTTAGTTCACAAAGCTTTTGTGTTAATTCATAAAAGTATAATCGTTTAAAAAAAATGTTGCAAAACTATTTCATTACGCCTATTTTGTTAACTGTTATGTTAAATCGCAAAAAAAATGCGTTAATTTGCAAAACTATTGCGTTTAGGTAATTACTTTAAATTGCAAAGGTATGCCTATTACGTTAACTCGCAACAAAAAAAATCAACTTTTTTTCTGTTTAACCTAACACGACTGGGTCTCATAGTGGTCTCATAGTGATGTCAAATAACATTTTGTTGCAAATTTAAACAAACCTTTGAGCTGCACTTCCTTTGACTTTAGCTTGGGTTGCGATGTCCGTTTAGACTCAACATAGACAAAGGACAAGCACCATCGGTGATAGTGTTATTGAGGGCGCAAGCAGCATGGAAATTCGTAAGGGGGGGGGGGGTCGACGCCACCTGACTCTATGCATAGCTATGGGGAGGCACATCAATGTCTCAAGGTCAAAACATTGTTCATTGTTCATTATGTTTTCTTCACGCGTTCATCCCGGATTTGGAAACGGAAGTGACATAAGACTAAATAATATAAATTTGACGAATATTTTCTAGAGCGGAACTTATATCAAGTGATGATTGTCAGTTAGTCAAAGGCAACTCTGAATTATATCCTCGTTCAACCGAGGTGCTTACAGCCATACCCGCATGTAATTAACTTTCATGTCCAACAAAATGTTTTAGCATATCTCCCTGTATATCGGCACAGCTCTTCAGATAGCAAAGACGCCCGGCGTATAACGAATATTTAAACTACCGGATGTTTTTGTGGTGGTGATATTGTAAATCGTTATATTTTTCCAGTTGAATGGGAGCAATGGTAGTGGACAACCTGTGAATGTGACGTTCCCCGTGGTACTGATGGCAAGATTCCTCCGCATACTTCCACTCGCGTGGGCTGGAAATTATAATTATTATCTGCGGTTCGAAGTGCTCGGATGTCGAGGTAATGTGCCCTTCTAAAAAAATCTAAGTCGCCTTCATAAATAGAAAGGCAATGATACCACGTGTTATTTGGTGTAAATGTTGGAAAATTGTTTGTTTTTGAGATCTAGGCTTATTCCAAGGCTGTAAGAACCAACTGCAAGCGCTGACTTGAGTATCGTGTTTGGATGAACCGTGATTAGAACCAGCGGAAGGTGTATTAATACTGAACAAGTCATATCTATTGTTATGTTAAACTAATTTAGTGTAACAGTAATTCTGGTGCAGGCCGAACGATCATGCTAGTACATGTATTTGACTGTTTTAATTGAAAACCATAGCCACCTTTAGTGATTTACTAGGAACCTTCCTCACTCTTAATCTTGCAAACCGTAAACTCTACATCCAAGCTGTTGGACTCTGATTATGGTGATATGGCTGACCCCCATGTAAAGCATAATCACTTTACTTGTGCAGTACTCACTCCAACAGATTCCAATAAAACATGCAGTTCAATTTTGAAGGACGGGGTGGTTATTTAAGGTCGTCTACACTTTACACACACAAAAAGTGCGGTGTAAATATTTAACACCGGTGGTCCTATAAAGATGTCATCGGTGTTAAATCTAACCCTGCTGTCTTTGACCCTCATAAAACATGTGTCAGTATCCAGGTCATGGAAGTTGGAGGGTTGGGAGTTGGGATGATGGTATTGTCGGCTGATATCACTTGCTGGGTGTGTTTATTCGTTTCTTTTCTGATCGATGACTCGTGTTGGTCCAGCTCTGTTGCATTCTGACAATGCCCAGTACAAATCATATGAAACGGTAGTTTGCATCACAAATTAGTGGATGATGACCTTCATATGGCAAATTGAGTGGGGGATCTGAGTTGAGTTCCCTAGATGCATGTAGACAAAGGAATGATCATTAATGTCAGACAACAGCCATCACTGGAAGGGGGAATACATGTGGTTAGGCGATTTGAGCCATGAAACGGCACCTCACGACAGGGAATGAAGTTAAAGTTATGTGCACAACGGCATCTTATGCCTTTTAGATTTTAGTTTAAAAACGATTTTTACATTATTGTTCTGGTCTGATGTACCACAAATATTTTATTAAGAAGAGACCAATCTTGCCACAAGACTCGTTGTATTATCGAACGTTACGTCTTCTTCTTTCAACATCGGCCCAGCGTACGTGTAATCTAAATTTACGTTTGAACTGATCTAAATTTACGTTTGAACTAATCTTAATTTATGTTTGAACTGTTAGCAGACTTTAAAAGCGGCATGATCCGATTAGTGGGTGGTGATGACAAATGGAGCGGCCAAGTGGAAATCTACCGTCATGATGCTTGGGGTGCAGTCTGCGATAGCAGTTGGGATATGAAGGACGCCACCACCGTTTGTCATCAGCTCGGCTTCATCGAGGCTCTGGAGGCTAAAACGGGGTTGTCCAGCCGAGAGAGTGACCGGCCGATCGTGATGAATCGAGTCGCCTGTACTGGAACTGAACGGCGGCTGGCTGACTGTCCGTTTGTCTGTACCGGCTCTCAGCAATGCAGCAGCTCAACTGTAGCAGGAGTCGTTTGTAAACCGAGACCTGGTAAGAAATTCGGCCCTCTTTAGTTTTCTGTCATTCACATCCGACTTTGTGTCCTAAACGTCAGCTTATTACACAAGTAAATTTTGTGTTATCAAATCATCTCCAGATATTTACGACATTTCAGCGTTCTCTGATGATAAAAGTCCACTAAATTAAGGAGGTACTCAACCCCATTCTTCAAACAAAAGCACTTTCTTATAAATACAGGAAAAATATACTGATGAACTCAATGAAAAATCTGAAATATTTATTGTTAGATCTTACACCCACAAAATAGACAAAAAATAGGAATTCAAAATCTTACTGGTGCCTCCCAATGCTGGTTATTTGGACCAAACATTCTTTTAAGGTTGCATTCCCCTTGCTCTCCGACATATGATAAATTGTTTCTATAAATAAATTTGCAACTTACATGTTTAATTCCAACCAAAGTTTCCATTTTAACTTTTTGGACTTTTTGCAACCCTCTAAAGAAAAAAAAAACAGGTTTTGCTTTGGACACAAACATATTCACTTTGCGAACAGACTGGCTCCCGGTCTGTGCATTATCGATACTACTAAGCCTCTGTACTAATGACGTCACATTTGTTTACATGTGCACTTTCCTATGGAGCCAGTGGGGTCCCATGGTCCACTGAGCACCATAGGAAAGCACACATGTAAACAAAGTGTGACGTCATTAGTACAGAGGCTTATTGTGGGGCGGGGACCAGCCTACCCGCGAGAATAGAATTATTGTCTGGAAGCGAATAATTCGAAACTGTAAAGTAATAATTATTCAACAACTAAGCGGGCTGATTTTTTTGCTCGACTTCACATTCAAAAGTGAATAACTTTCGTATTGCTATAAAAAAAAAATAGCAATAACTTAGAAAATGAATCTATTTTTTTGGATGAAACTTGTTAATAGCACGGGGAACGATTCTTGATTATAGGCTCACTTGATGTCCTCGGTAGGCCTATGGGTTTCTTTGGGACACTGTCACTGACAGCCAGGTAATTTGATTCTGATCGCTACGTGACATATTTTTATCAGCCTGTATTTCCAGCTGAAGAGGGGATTGGGAGGTCTACTAACCATGAGGGCGGGCTACCTATCCGTCCCTATTTCATTACACCACTCCACAGTGTAAGCGTCAGACTGTAACTCGTCTTGTTTTCCAAATTGAGATAATGTCTTTATTGTGAAATGATCAGATGATCTTCGGTTGGTCGGCGGATCTCGCACCAGCGGCCGAGTGGAGATATACCGTGGCGGCAGCTGGGGCACCATCTGTGATTCCAATTGGAACGAGACTGATGCAGGGATTGTCTGCCGCCAGCTCGGTTTCTCAGACGCACTGGAGGCCAAGTCCGCTGCCCACTTCGGGCAGGGTAGCGGACCCGTCCATATGGACGGCGTAGCGTGCGAAGGATCCGAAGAGAAAATTACCGACTGCCCTTCCTACTGCTGGGAGGAGACAAGTTGTAGCCACTCTCACGATGCTGGAGTGATCTGTAGTGACGGTAAGCATATAATGAGGGCAGTGCAACGAATCCTATACCACATCGTCAAGGATTCAAATCATCATAGAAATACTCCGCGTATTCCTATCATTAGAAAGATGGATTGGTTCTAGCGTCATGCAAGAACGAGTGCTCCATTCAATTGGATAGTAACGATTTTTATTGTGCAACCGTATACCTTGATTTAATTAAATGGTAAAAAGCTGAAATATTACAATGTGTTGAAACTATTAGTTGCCCAGCAATAATCGGTTGATACTTTAATCAATATTTGCAAGGGTTTCTTGCATGAAAGTATGTCCCGATATTTAATTTCGCATATGTCTGCGAATCTGATAATCGTTCGGAGAGAATATTTTATTGACTTCGGTGTCAAGACGGTCTTATGATTGTATAGAGCCAGGTTCCTGTTAAAATTTTATTTAGAACACATTTTTTTAAAAATGAAAACTGTTTGCTTTTCCAGTTTTCTTCAACAACCTTAGATGCAAACTGTTTGTTCTTCGCTTTTGTATTACTGCAGGAAACACCGTAACAACCAACAAGTGACGAAAACTAAACCGCTCAAGCAACCAGGAAGGATAGGACACCACACATCATCATACACACTCATCTCCTTGTAAAGGGACAATGTTTGTTTCATCAAAGTGTCCCTCGTAATTGCTGGTCAAATTCTTCTGTAGTCTCGTGACTGGTCTCGGCCTATAACCCGTGCATGCTGTAAAGCCATTATAATTATGGAGAGTGGTACCTTGCTTCTCTTGCCATTGTAGTATATTACTGACTGTGTAATCTACGGCACCAATCTATTTTAACAGTGCATTTTGGTTAGATGTAGTTTTGAGTTCTTCTTGTCAATGTTTGTTTTTTGTGCAGCACTATATAGAAGTCATGCAACAATCATGGGGGCTTTATTTGTATAATATACACAATGATAATAAGAAAACACCACAAGACCACCCAAAAAAGACCCCAAAAATATGCGAACAGGAGTGGAATCGATAATCAATTATATTATTGGACTCGCATCAATTTAGATATTTTTCAACGTCAGTTACTCACAGTAGAATGAGTCCATTGATATAAATATATTCAAATGAAATTGGGAAACAAAAAGGTAAAGTGCAGTGGATACATACCGAGGGGGAGAATGTTGGACTCTCTTATACTTCTGATACACCGATAAACTTTAATTGTTATTTTAGGAAAAGCTAAGGATGTTGCGTATATACGGCGTAGAATAGGCCTACTTTAAGGTGAACAAACTTTGCCAAATACGTTGAATGAAAAAGAAATAATTGTGTATGACTTTTGTCACGCATAATATTCGGCGTAATAGTATTTAAAAATAAACCTGCATTTTTAGCTGGGGATAACACTTAATAAAATGTATGACTACACACAAGAAAGCACTGGTGAAAGACTTATATCATTATCATGCTGCCAAACTGAATAATTGTGTGTTTGAGCCATGTATAATGCTTGCCATAATATTATGTTAGAGCAAACCTGTATTTTTAACTAGGGATAATACTTATTAGATTTCTTATAGCTTTATATCAGCACACAAGAAAGGTCTTATTGTAGCAATTTGTAGACCTTCATGATTATCATTCTGCCCAAATAAAAGTAAAAAGAAAAACAAAAATATCTTGAAACTCAAAATCTCCTCGTTTAAAGGGTTCATGATATTGAATTTTTACACATTATGTGAAACTTTCTACTCCTCTTAAATGCATGAAAACTACTTGTATGATCCCTTTTTGGTTAATTTTTATCGAAAAGTGCACTTCTTTAAACATTTATAATGTTTCCATACTTTTCCGGACAACCGACGGCCTTTTTGCTGTGATGTCATAACAGGAAGACACTGCTCAGTTTAGGGGTTTTCTGCTCAAAATCGTGAACTCAAAAATGTGCTCATTGAAAACATTTGTGAGAAAAGTTGACTCGCCTTACTGCCATGTACTGACACAATAACAGATCGACAAAGAAAGATCAATTTCGAAAGCAAATCATCACAAATTCTAACAACTTTTGATGCTGACATAGTTGTATAACATTGAGCTTTCTGCCTGAAATCACACGTTTGCTAATGAATATGAAAATTTGCATGAGCAAAATGATACCAAAATAGCCTTACAAATTGCGAAACTATAATTGAAAATAAAAGGGCATTTTCAAGGATTGCATTAAAAAGCATTCCCTACGTACGCCCGCGGTTGTGTACAGACAAGTCCGAGCACGATAACAATTCTATCACGAAGGCCCCTTTCAATGGCGAGGCATTGTGCTAGCTATTGTTCAGATAACCCGGCACGAGGCGTGCAGTTGTTTTGTGCAATAGCTTGCGTAATGGTTTCTCCATTGAAGGGGGCCTCGTGAGTGTATGCAGTGATCAGGTGCGCCAGGATTCGTCCAAATAAATCAGCAGGATAAACTTTGCACAAAATCGGGCAGAGGGTTGCCTAACGGCGCATTTGAAAGAACTTCTCAGACTTTCTCGGATTTCATCAAAAACCATACTTAGCCTCACTGCCATATCCATCAACATTTTTGTCAGCGCAGGAGCGGTAATTTCTTGTCAAATTGGGAGTAGGGGAGGGGGAGGCGGGGGGGGGGGCAGTTGTACAATCTAAGACATTCCAGGTGGCAATGATTTTGAGTGGTTGAGAGGATTTCCGTCATCGTAGGTTAGACGTTCCGAGGTCATACCATTAGAATCAGCTTAGCAATTCGTAGCAAGCGTTTTTTTTTTACACGGTGTGTCGCTGGCCCAACGCGCAACCCCATTCCGTTGTCTAGGCCGCCCAGGAGTGGATTAAAAAGCTGCATGGTTTTATACTTCCGAGGTAGCCTTCTCCTAGGTGGGTAGCCAACCAAGACTGACGAGCCCCACCTGCACGGGTTTGGAATCAGAGTTTTCCGTCTATTAGGAAGGTTGTCAGAAACCTGCCTTCACATCTCTGCCATCCAGTGGCGCACCCAAGGGGGGGGGGGGGGGCTCGGGGGGTCTGAGCACACCCGAGGTTGTCAATTTAATTTCTTTTTTTTTTTTTTGAATTTTTTTTTAGTCCCACACTTGGACCTTGTTCACATGTATGTGGCCTATTTTCAAGTAGTAAAATAGGGGTGTAAGTGGCGCCACCAATGTCAAAAAAGTCCGCCCCCTAAAAAAATACCCAATATTTTTCTGCGGCCAAACATTTTGTGCAAAATTTGTTGGAAAAAAAATAGCTTCTAAAAAATTTCATAAAAAAAAAAAAAAATTGTGAGCCCTCCCCAGCAAAATCCTGGGTGCGCCACTGTTGCCATCAGTTATGAACAGCGAAAGGCACATGAAGCCAAGCAGCAGGAGTTTGGTTAGGAGAGGCTATTCGAGACGCTGACTTTATGGAATATTTCAAGGGAGAGGAGTGGCTCAATTCTACTCTTATTATAATTATGATTACCCATGTTTTTTAATCGGTTACCATCCCAACCATGGCCATCTACAAAATTGCTTTTGATACCATATTGACCACTGATTAACGTTACAGGAAAAGTTACCCAATTTCGTGACGATCGACCGAAGCGTTTCAGATCTATCACAAGAAAGCGTGGGCAATTTGGACCTGTTTAGGCCAAACAAATATACTTCTGCTGCCGATTACCCGACCGACCCTATTCTTAGGCTGCGACCCTAAACAATTATCGGCAATTCCAAAAAAAAAAAAAAAAGAATAAATAAAAATAATATCTTGTCGTTTCTGTCTTCACAAAACACCTCTCAACAACCCTTTTGCGTCAAAAGAATATTGGTATTTATTTGTTTTCTTACTTATATTCGCTATTTTTTTTCAAAGAAACTTCCGTTATTTTTACAAATAGCTTCCCGTCTTGACAAGCGTTCTGCATATGGTGCGAACAACCTGAATTTTCCTTTTTTTTTAAAGAATAATCCAACGTAAATTTGTTGACAATAATTAAAGTAGGTTTTAATCACATTTTGCGGCCTTTTTGGGTATAGCTTTCGTAGTGCAATGGAAATAGTTCAGGCTAAAACTTCCCATATACTTGAATACCCCATTCAATCTGCATAAAAAAATGACTCCCCCCAAAAAAGGTTCCGACCGACCGACCCTATTTTTGAAAGGCATGTAATCGGAGGCAGAAGGTTTTTTTCGGCCTTAATGCTCTGCATCCAAATATTACTGCAGTCACAGCCAAATGTTTGATATATTGCCCAGACAATTTCAAATATAAGTCTGTTTTGGATGAACGTCTTGAACATGGATCTTAGTTACCGGCTCATCATACATAAGAATAAATATGAGCCGAAAGCCAGTGACAAAACATTTCCGTCACAACTGAATGAAATAATGTTTTAACAGGGACTACGTGAGCAATTTGGTGCATTGGTACTCCACACAACTATGTCACTATATACCAGATGTTTGATATTTTGCCCAGACAATGTCAGAGGTTAAGTCTGTTTTGGATGAACGTCTTGAACATGCATGTTCGTTACAGGATCGTCATACATGAGGGTAAATATGATCCAGTGTCAAAACACACGCGTCACTTCCAATGTTCACCCATGTTGGCCTTGCCATAGTTGGTCCCACCCAGTTCTCGGTAGTCGAGTCTTGCGAAGCGGGCGCTCTCTATATCGGGTCTTCGGTCATTCACCCGTTGTCGCGTTTGAGACATCGATAAAACCTCAGACACTACAATAATACGCTATAAGTGATAAGCGTACGCCGCGCCAAGCTTGTCTTGGTTTTTATATACATGCTCGGCCGGCCGTTGTTGTATTACAAAAACACTTCATTCGAACTGACCAATCAAACTTTTAGTCCAGACTTCGAACTGAAATAACGTCACGATTTAGTAAAGTCAACGGCTCCGTCCGAGGCATCGGCACCAAATTCGTGTCGATGCTATTAAAGTACAAAACACTGTACAAATCAAGCTAGGGTAAACTGGTATAGGTCCTAGCTCTAAAAGCCTGCTGTCACCAACGGCGTCAATTTCTGCTTCTGCTTAATCTTCTTGACTGTATACTGTACACAACGCCCGGTTGGACTATCTCGGTATATACAGTGGTTAATATGGCATGTGAGCGAATCGCTTCTCAAGGGAAGGGGGGGGGGGGGTATGACTGCAACCACTGCCAGATGTTTAATGTATTGCCAAGAGCATTTCAAATTAAGGTATGTTTGGGATCAACATCTTGAACAGGCTTGCAGGCTCGTCATGACTGAGGGTAATGTCTGCCAAAACACATGCGTCAAAAGGAAATGAATGTTTAAGGGGAAAGTTGTTATCGGCTCCGGCCTAGGTCCCTGCGTGAGAAATTTGGGACATTGGTCTGCACAGCAATGTCACTTCCAGATGTCTGATGTGTTGCCAAGCTAATGTCATGGTCTGGGCATTAAAGATATATACGGCACGCATAAATGACATTTATTCACATAAAAAATGTCGTTAAATACATTGCATCCCCACAGGATGAAACTTGATACTTCATCGACTTCGCATAATGTGTTTACTTTCTTAGAGTTTAGGCACTCTATTGAAGATGGTCACTTAGAGTATCTATTGACAGGAACGTCGAATTTATACC